GACGGCAAATATCCACTGAGTGAATCAAAATAAAGGTTTCCTTCTATCCCACATTTAGACATCTAGTTAAGTTTTTAGCAGCGTGACATTGGTTCTTGTCTATACCAAAATGGCAAACATAGGTGTCGGAAGGGTAGAAAAGTAGGTAGTTAGGTTCAAGTAGACTGACTTTGGGTACGTAACAGCGGTGAGACTGCTGTGGTTTATTCTTGTTTCCTCGTTTAGCTTGTTTCATTTACTGTAGTTCAGTTTTAAACAGTTTACCAGCTGCATTTAGCACATTTACCAGAAATGTGTTAAAAGAAAATAAACTAAAACATTTATTTTTCTGTTTATCTTTTCACTTAACATTTCAGGATCAGACTTGGTATTCCAGGTTCAGGGTGTCAGAGAAGTTAAATAATATTCAGTACCTTAGGCTTCAATATCCTTCTTTTGTTACGACCATTTAGATGAATTTTAGTGATGGTCAGAGGCTTCTAATAGGAAGGCAGTAACTCCTGTAAATACCAATATCCAAATGGTGTCTCTCTGTTCCAGCCCATCGCAACAGTTTTAAAACCAGTTTTTGTTTTTGTTTTTGTTTTGTTTTGTTGCTTTGTTTTGTTTTTTAACAGGAGAGCCAGTGTAACTCCTTCAAGACTGGAGTGACACTCTACATCTGCATCTGCCTCGTGTGAGTTCTCATTTTGGCAGCAACACTCTGCTAGGCTGGAACCTCTCTAGAGGTTTGCCCTTCCTTTTTCTAAAATCTATAAACTATACACAGTGTGTCTTGGTGGCAAAGGTAAAAAGTGCATGAGAATTTTAGACTTCTTGCAGAAAGATTTTGGCTCATTTCAAAGAAACGGTCTCCTCTAACATAGGTTCTGTCTTGTATGAACAACATTTCCCCAAAACAGAGCCCATAACTTTCATCACCACAACATACAGCTGATATTTTTTCGAGAACTGTTTTTTCCTTACAGACCATGGAGTAAAAAATATCTTTAAATGCGCTCAGTAGCTTCAGCTTTCAAAGCTTTGGTTGTTCTCTTTATAGTCTAGTTACGTAACCTGAGAACACCGCGTGCTGCCCCAGTGGCTCAGGCGGTCCTCTTTTTTGGACTCTGGCCCTTGAAAGAACTTCTTCCTTTGTCTTTGAACATTGGGTAAATTAGGATAGGCCTGAGGACTTTCTCGAAGAAGAAATAAGCAGTGAATGTGTGAGGTTATGTTTACTCTGAATCTGTAGGCTGCATTTTGAAAGTCAAGTTGTAAGAATTGAGCTTGAAGCCATGCATCACTTACTCGCCAGTTTTGGGAGAGAAATTGAAGTTAGAGCCTTTGCAGCTGTGGAGAGGCATAGAGCTGCACTGTGTGAGGCAATACTATGGTTCCCTGTAGATATCAAGGCTGACTTCAAAGGGCATAGTCATTAAAAAAGGGAATTTTGCTTCTATTTATTTATTTTTCAAGGAATGATGATACTTTGCAGGTTTTAGGACTAGTCACTTTTGCTACTAGGTCAGAACAGATTGTGATTATTCCCAAGGGACACTTAGAACAAAACATCTAAACTTTGGCTCTGTGCAGCTACAGTCTGCTTCTCCAACCCTGGTTGTACTGTATAGTGCTCTAGCGGATGATTTAATGACCTGGGAATTCGTGTTACTAAAATGATTAGCCGGGAAGCTTATGAGAAAATGTCAATAGCTTGTAGGTCTTACTGATTAATATAGAGCTTAGTGAAATAGATAGTGTTGTCAAAGTGGAACTTGAACTCTCTTTGCTAAATTCATTCTCACCTGTGACTAGAGCAGTTTATTTTGGACTAGGTGAAAGAAATTGGAGGGAGGATAGTGTGTTTCAACACCTAGGCTTAAGCTTTGATGCCTGTGTAATCCAGAAATTGATTTTTAACAGTGGTAGTATGCCTCACCACAAAGAGCTTTGGATCAGAATCAGGCAGACTTAAATTCTGGCTTAAGCTTATATTTGTACTTGCTATGTATGTAACGTCAGGTCAACAAATGGGGAAAATACATTGTATTTTTGGAAAGTACCCTAAACCCATTGAGTTAAAGGAAATTTAAAGTATTTGTTTCTCTAGGTGGAATTACTAGACAGTCACCTCAGTTGAATACTTGGAAAGTTCTGCCCTGGAGTTAACATAAATGTAGCAAGTGTATTGTGTTTTGTTATCTGCTGTTCTAGGGTTTGCGCTGGCAAAATGAGGATTTGAGATATCTCCCTTCCCCTACCCCCGATAATCTTTCTTCCTTCACAAAAAGTTCTGAAAAAATGGATTTGAGTTTCGATCCAAAGTGTCTCCCAAACACAGGTTTTAATCACCATTATTCCCTTGCTATATGATTACCTCATGTCTAACTAGGGAAAATGTTTCATTTAGGGGTGAGCATGAGTGGAGGTGATTAAGGTCCCCCCCATTCTTAAGGCATAGCCAGCAAATTATCCCTCTGAAAAAATTAATAATTGAAAAATTTTATATGGGCCAAATCCTGTAAGAATGAATGTCAGTGGATTATCCCAATTACTTAGCTACTGGAATTTTGTTTCATTAAATATTGTTTGCAATAAGTGGGGCTTTGTTAGGATTGAGAAACAGTTTTTGTTTTATGGAAATCTTGTTAAAATGAGATTTATTCTCAGGGTGGAAGCACTGTGTTAGGTGAAAGATATTCTCAAAATAATTCAAATTGACATTGGTCAATACTACTTTTCTGGTTTTATTATAGTATACCAGCTCTTACCCTTTTTAGTGGGTATGAATATATACCCTTCACCACAGTGTACATCATCTAGATTTAAGAATTCCACCCTCAGGATTCCAAAAGGATTTTTTTTGTTTTTTGGGGGTTTTGTTTTTGTTTTTGGTGGAGGAAGGTGATGATGGCTGGAGATGAACAGAGGAAAATACATAGCCAGTCTTGAGAATATTAGTATTAGCATTAGCATTAAATTATTTTTACCCCTGAAACAACAAAAGAAACAACTTCCTTTGGCATTGTTCTTATGAGATGAGACTCAAGGGCCTCCTTTTCCTAAAGGGCCTTAAAACTTTTAGGCTTTTTAAATATGACGAATGTTTATTAAAGGACTTTGGAAGCTCACCTGCTTTTTTTTTTATCTTTTTTTTTTTTTTTTTACATTTCAACTTAATTTGAAAATGATAGGTATGTACATTAATAAGTTACAAGTTTTAAAGAAGTAAGAAGGTGCATACATGAAAGTATACTTTCTTCCCCATCTCTTAGCCACTCAGTTCCCTTCTGTGGAAGTGACAAGTATTACTGGTTTCTTTTATGTAGTTCCAGAAATATTCTAAAAGATTGATTTTGGTAAGGAAAAGTTGACTAGTACTCATTAAGATATTAGCACCAATTTGGGTCGGCAGACTAACTGCAGTGAAAAATCAGTTTGAGCCACAGGCTGTATATTAATTGTGGGTAGAATAATAATAATAATAATAATAGCATTATTTTGAGATAAAATGGATTTTTTTTGCCTCATTTGGCATTTAGCAAGATTGCAGGTCTTTTTATTTTTAATTTTTATCTTTAGTACACCTTACCCTCTCCTAGAGACTGATGGGAGAATGCTTACCTAAATATTGCATTTGGAGCAAACCTATTTAAAGGAGCAACGTTTTCTTTATGCTGAACTGCAATGATGATTCTAAAAAGTTTCTTCATTATAGAATAATGAAGATTATTATAGAATTATAATAGATTATAGAATAAGATTATAGAATAAGATTTCAGAGATAGATAATAGTAGGGAGAAACTCCCATATTCTAAAATTCATCTGTCTTCACCTGTAACAAACTCAGTAGGCTTCTTTGGCAGAAAAGGATATATATATTTATTTATTTTATACATACACTTGCACATACCCATCCTTCCATAATTATATCTCATAAAGCGAGTCCTAATTCTTTTTTAAATGTGTATTTCCAGTCTTACTGAAAAATAGACATATATCACTGTATAAACTTAAGGCATATAGCATGATGGTTTGATTTATCTATGTTGTGGAATGATTACCATAATATGTTCAGCTAATACTCATCTTCTCATATAGATACAATAAAAAGAAGAGAAAGAATAAAGGAAAGAATTTTTTTCTCCTTGTGATGAGAACTCTTAGGATGTAATCTCTTAACAGCTTTCCTTTATATCATACAAGTGGTGTTAGCTAAAGTCCTCGATGTTGTCCATTACATCTCTAGTACTTATTTATCATATAACTTGAAGTTTGTACCTTTTGGCCACTTTCCTCCAATTCTCACCCTTAACCCCTAGTCATAATTCTTTAATATCTGATTCCCAGTCCACATTCAGATTTCCGTAATTGTCTCAGACATGTCTTTTTATGGTTGATATTGCAGCAATAACTTGTAAAATGCAATTTTTATGGCTTTATAATATTGTTAGGGCTGATAAGAAAACAAGTTAATCCTGACAAATAGAATTATGCTGATTGGAGAAGGAATATAAAGCAACTACCAAATAGTAGCCAAATGGGAATTGTAAAAATAAGTTTTTTTAAAAAGCTCATTTTGAAGGATTCCTACACCAATTATACATAGCAGTGAAGCCTTCAACAAATAGCGACCTCTCTACCTGGTTTTCTGTTTACTTACATTCTCATGGTTTATATCACAACTGTTGTGCTTATTAGTTTCTTTTTCTGCCTTTAGATTATGGGCATGAAATAACAGTTAAAGGAAAAAAGTTTAAGGTTGCTAAGAATGAATTATTCTGAAATGTTTGATAATTCATCTTGTCACTCTTGCTCCTACAAAAATATGACCTATTTCCACAGACTAACAATGGAGTTTTGTGATTACTTGGGACAGTACAGAACATGGAGTTTGAGGGGAAAGAAGAAAATGGCCTAATTAGGAGGAGGGAGGAGTTGGGAAAGAGTAGAAATTCACTCATTTGCCTTTTATTTTCATGGACTGTTATTATAACGAGAACTCCTCTCTGTGCAGTGTACAAGTCCCCGGAGTATGAGTCTCTTGGCTTTGAGCTTACTGTGGAAAGATTAGTTTCTATTGGCTACCCTCAGGAGCTGCTCAGCTTTGCTTATGATTCTACATTCCCTACCAGGTAATTTTTCAAGATTTTTTTTGGATTAAGACCTTTTCCTCTACCCCCCAAATTAATAATTCCAAATGCATCTCTGACCCTGCCCACCATCAAAGAAAAAAAAAAAAAAACAGATAAGATGCTTTGGTTTGTTTCTGGTTTTGTTATTTTGGTTGGTCTGGATTCTAAAATTAAAGACTTTTCATGTACACTATTATCTTTTGTGTTCTTGAATTGAGCTTTATTGTTAAGAAGATCTATTTATGGGAAAGAAAAAGGATTAGTAAAACTGATGGGCAGTAATCATAGATACTTACTGTTGGAGAACAGTTACATGTTTTACTGATACGCTCACTTGGTCAGGAGGAGCCTTCTTGGCAGTTTGCATTTTTGGATTTGATAGAGACAGTTTAAGATTAAGAAAGATGGTGTTTGAGATGCCATCATAGATGTTCCATGTATAGTGTCTGTTAGAGGGAAATATAAGCCAGCTCCTTTCTCCAAGGAAATTCAGACTCTTTTAGAATGGAACCACAGTGCATACTGTATTTAAGTTGTGATTATTTATCTGGACAGAGTAAATATTTTTTAGTTGTTCTGGGTTTAGTTTTAAGATTTTATTCACTTCATCCACCAGGATTATATTGTTTGGAGACATTCTGAGTCTTCATAAAGATTGAATAGGATGGCATTGGTTTATGATGATTGAATAATACTACATAAGACTGTTACCTGTATTATTGATGGTGTCCTCATTTGCACATAGGGGACTTGTGTTTGATACACTATACGGAAATCTTTTGAAAGTTGATGCCTATGGAAACCTCTTGGTCTGCGCACATGGATTTAACTTCATAAGAGGGTGAGTACATAGAACCTTTAGCCTCTGTCTGGTGTTTTTACAGTGAAAAAATATGAAGATCACTGGTCTCCCCAGATGTAATATACTTTGCTGTTCCCTAATCATTAAAGAACGATTTCTTTACATAAGGATACTTACCAACTATTTATTAGGCAGTTAGGACTCAAACGGACTTATATAGTTAGCAGTTACATTTTGTGTAAATTAACTGGTTTCTAATTATATAGCATCCAACAAAGCTAATCTTGAAACTTGCCCAAAAAGAATTGTAGTGGCTTTGACTTACTTGAAATTCTAAGATTTTTATTTTCTCCTTTTTAATACAGTTCTCAGGTAGCTGCTCAGAAGAGGTATGTATATAAAAGTGCTTTGAAAAATTTCAAATTACAACAGTGTAAATTACTAAGATTTTTAACAGCTAATATATGATTTTTAAATATTCTAATGAATAGCTTCAGATACTTGACATGTGGGTAAAATTTTTTTAAAACACAGGTTAAAAATAAACAGGGTGATAATATTTAAAGCTAGAGTAAGCTTTATTTTCAGAATCAGAATATTTCCACTATTCTCAGTAATTTAGACTTTCCACCTTAGTAAATAGTAGATAAAATTTACTGTCTATAATGTTTTGGTCTGCTATCTTTTGGTGAAACATCCCAATTTTTTCTTTAAAAATCACAATACCACAATTTGACATTTTCTGCCCTCATAGCTTTACAATTATATTTTTTCTCCACAACTCTACTATCTAATTTACTACTGATACTGCATTAGACACAAAGCAACACTTAAAACCAAAATAGGTTATTTGTCAGTCTCTTATATTTCTATACATTATTTTCAAAGGCAAAGTAGTCAGAACCACACAGTCTGTATTGACATTTTTAAAGAGTGTCTTTTTGGTAAATACTTTTGTGATAAGAGGCACACACTAACTGAAACTGTACCAGAGTATCCTTTAAATCTGAGATCACAGCAGTGCCCTATTTGGAATTGAAGCATCTGATACAAGACTTTGCAGCTGGAATTACACAGGTTCAAAGGTTTCCACATAAATGTAGTGAGAAAGAACAGTGTGAAGTAAACACCCCACCTTGACACATCTGGACAGGCCGATGATTAATTATCTCCCTTTCTTTCACTGTTCCTTTCGTGAGGGTTTTGTTCAAGATCATGAATATCAGGAGACAGGATTTAGAATGTGAAGTGATTGCAAATAGTGCTAGCAACCTAAGCTATTTTATATATGAATATTGTACCATAATTCAAAATCTCAATGAAGATGAACCAAGGTTCTATTTACTAATGTCTGAAAAGGGATTTTTGTGTTATGAGTAGGGGTAGTCAGGAAGAGGAAAGGAAGTTCTATAAATTAGTACTGCAATTAGTTTTACTAACTCAGGATCCACTTTCTTTCCCCAAGTAAACTAATAAAGTTTCCAAATAACTCCTTTGGAAGTATTTTTAGTACTGTTTCAAAAATAAGTCATTTATGAGTAATTCAGAATCATTCAAATAGCACTTAACCCTGTATAGTCTTTAGAATCAAAAGGAAAAGCCTATAGAAGAGAGGCTGAGGATGGAGAGGGAAAGAATGAGCTATTGGAGCATACTGGTGGACGAGGCTGGCTGGCAGGGAGGTTAGGGCTCCATCATGGATTACCTTACACACCTTGCCAGTGAGTTGGGGCCTCTTTTTTTGGACAAGGGCAAAGGCCTTTAAATTTTTAGAAAAGGATAATATTGAGATCAAATATTCTACGAATCACAGAAAGTTAGCAGTAGTCCATACGGTTTTCCTCCCAGCTCACAAGTCTAGCATTCCTTCTTCTAGGATAAATTAACTGCCCCCAATTAACTTTTATTTTAAATACACGCTAGCATGATTTGACAATTAAGAGGGCACAAGTGAGCAAAGGGCAGAGAGAGAGAGAGAGAAGTGGGGCTCATGCTCACCCAGTTTGGGTCTCATGCTCACACAAAGTGGGGTTTGAACTCATGAACCGTGAGAACATGACCTGAGCCAAAGTCAGATGCTTAACTGACTGAGCCATCCAGACACCCAACACTTAAACAGAATGTAATTGGTAACTATATTTATAAGTCATTTGGGTTCTTATTGCCTGATAAATAACTATTAACTATCCTTATGTAAAGGAATTACTTTTTAATGATGGAGAGAACAGGAAAGTATATCTAAGGAGATAGTGTCATCTTACTAAACCCAGCTGAGGAAAGCATGTCATTACTTTTCCCTTCCATCTTAATTTTCATTACAGAAAGTCTTAGGAGGCTAGAAAATGAGATATTCTACAAAGTTACTCCTTACTGGGAATTCTTATTTCAGAAGTGTAACGAAGAAAGGGAGCTAATGTAATTTTCTGTTCCTAACTAGAATTTATGCCATTGGTATCTAACAGACCCAAGCAGGAATTTACCCAGGTTACTCTGAGTACAAACTTTAAATCTGATGTCGTTTATTTAGATTAGTTATCTCTACATACTCATTGTGAGAACTGTACAGTTTTTAAATAAATATTTTATTTTTAAGCAATCTCTACACCCATCATGGGGCACAAACTCACAACCTCAAGATCTAGAGTTGTACGTTCCACTATCTGAGCCAGCTAGGCACCCTGAGAATCGTGCATTTTTATATTTCAGCTTTTTTCTCTTTTGGTTTCTCTGTACTGTTTGTTTCTTTGTTTTTTTAATTAATCCTGTCCCTTTCCACTTCTTGGAGTATTTCATTTCCCTCTCCAAAGTTCTTTGGCATTTCTAACATCTTCTGTCTGTTTTGCTGGCTTTTTTCCTTTTAACCCTGAGGGTTCTCCGTGGGTCCATTTTCAGTCTTGTTTTTCCTCTGCCCTATAAGGGGCTGCATCCACTGTAACAGCTTTCGTGACTTCATCTATTATCTATCTGTAGATGATCTCAGTTCTCTCTCAAGTCTGAATCTCTGTTTGAAGTTTTTGACCTTGCTTCTAATTGCCTATAAAAATCTGCTTACTTTGAGCTTACTGTATCCAAAATAAAACTCCTCTTACACCTACTTGTTACTCAGTTTTCATATTTCTGTGAATGGTACCACCATCCTTTCAGAGACACCATCTTGTGAGCATCATCAGCTTTGATTCTCACGTCCTCATTGCCACAGCCAGTCAGTAGCCTGGTCTTAATTCATTTTACCTTGGTAGTCTCTCATGATTAATGCTTCCCTTTAATTTCCTGTCCTACCACTCTAGGAGCGACCCTTCTTGCTCTCATCTAGGCTGCTGCAGTAACCTCTTAACTGATTTCCCAGTCGTTTGTGTCAGTTTTTCTGCATCATAAATTACCTTAAAGCCTAGTGGCCTAGAACAATGACTATTTTATTTAGAATCCTGAGAGTCAGCTGGGTAATTCTGGGGTTGCTCAGCTGATCTGGAATGGCCTGACTCACATGTCCGGCAGTTAGCAGCCTGTTGGTGGGCGTTCCTCATTTCTATACGTAGCCTTTATCCTCCAGCAGGTTATCTCCCTCATTCATACAGCAGTCTCAGAGGTCCAAGTGCAGCAAGAGTAGGCAAGCCCCAGTATGCAGGTATTTTCAAAGTTTCTGCCTAGATCCCTAGTTGCTGCTGTTGGAGCTTTATTTGAGGATGGAGAGAGAGACTGAGCCTCTGAGCTGGAGGAACTGCAGAGTCACACATTACAAAGAAAGTCATAGAAAGAATTTGTAGCCAGTCGTGCAACATATCACATTTCTTTCTCCTTTTTATCCTAAAACTGTTACTAATGGAATATTATTACAATTTAGCTCTGACGGTTTTATCCCTTTGTTTCAAACTGTTAGTGGCACCACAGACCTGTCAGTGGCACTCTCTTGCCCCTGAGTGAAAGATAACGGTAGCATGATCTGCCTCAGTTCATCTTTCTAGCTTTATTTTCTTCTGCTCCCCTGTCTGCACCCAGTTTTTGAATTGGAGCCTTTAAGGGCCTGCTCCTATGCCAGCTTTTTCATGAATCCCTCCTAGGTTTCCCTCTTCTCACATCCACATCACTTGTTTCTACCCCTTAAGTTGAAATGGTCTCTTCCTCAGTTTTCTCATAGCATTCTGAACCTTTCTTTTGGCACTTGTGATTTTTTACTTTGTGATAACTGTTTGTGTCTGTGACTTGCCTCCTTTACCTGACTGAGAGCTTTTTAAGGGCTGTTTATCTTCATAGCCACTCACATGTAGTATTTACACCCTGCCTTGCATGTAGCCACCAAAATATTTGAATGAATTTTTAAATGATAAGTATTTCTCCTGGTAGTAATATTCATTTTTTGAATGTCATTTAATTAAAATTTTTTCTTTCAGACCAGAAACTAGAGAGCAGTATCCAAATAAATTTATCCAACGAGATGACACTGAAAGATTTTACATTCTGAACACACTATTCAACCTACCAGGTAGCTTCATTCTGTGCTTATATATACAGATGCTTTCCCTTCTTTTCATGATCATTTGTCTTTGCTCAAGGGAGATAATGAAGTAAGTTTGAATTATTTCATTTATGTTTATGAATATCCTATTCTTCATTTTTCAGAGACCTACCTGTTGGCCTGCCTAGTAGATTTTTTTACTAATTGTCCTAGATATACCAGGTATGTATATAGTATAATTTTCTTTTTCCAATTGATTTTTTCAAATTAATGTACAGGGTTTTAGAGAACTGGCCATTGTAGGTCTTTTCTGCTTTTCTGAAGTGAATTTAGTGCTAGTGAGAGATGCCACATTGCCAGCCTGAGAGATGGGACAGCACCAGCAGCTCCATGCAGGCTCTCACCTCCCACACGGCCCCCTCTCCTTGCCAGTGTGCTGCAGCCATGTTTGGAAGGGACCACTTCTGATTGGCTTCTCCTGGGAATGAAGACGGCCAGCAGAGGTGCTAATTGTGACAACTGAGTGGGAGGTTTGTGTGATGATTATCTGTCCAAGCAGAATTACACTAAAACCCCCCAACTCATTTCACAGAAGCTACCCAGGAGCCATTCAGCAATGGCAATTTAATTTCATTCCCAGGCCCAGCAAGATTTGATTGAGAAGTAAATATGGTTTGTCCTCCCTGAAGTAAAATTTTGTTTAAGTCTTGAACAAGTTATCCTCTCCTTTTTAGGGCGAATTGTAGAACCACTGCTCAGCCATATGTGTCAGAGTTTGCTAACTTATCCTGCCTAGGCCTTATCCACTTCAAGGCACTAAATCTGGTGGAGCACCAAGTCACTATGCTAAATAGAAAATAGGCATTACCTCTGTACCTAGAGACAACACTGGAAAAGTCAGGATGAAGAGCACCTCAATTACCAATGTTAAGCTTTAAATGTTTCTTTGATGGGAACCTGTTTCTTAAAAGTGATGAATAAAAAGAACATGATAGTTTTGGAACTGACCTTTAGGTTTCATTCAGTATATTGTTCTATCACTTTGTATTTGTTCACAATCATTGTATTTCATTGAACACTGTAGTCCTTTCTGGTTGTGAAAATGGATTTTCATTAGGGAGTAATTATTTTCCTAATTAGCCTCAGCCTTTATCCATGTGATAATGGAACCTTTGGGTCCCCTGAGCCATGTTTGGTATTCATTTTATTTACCCTCTTTTGGATTCCCTGTCATGTTCTTTCCATCTTTGTATAGCTGTGAGACAGGATTTAAAGACGGGGACCTCTTCATGTCTTACCGGAGTATGTTCCAGGATGTGAGAGATGCTGTTGACTGGGTTCATTACAAGGTACCTGGGAGCTGCTGTGTCAGCTGTTCACTCTGTGGCGTGTGTTGTATGGTTTGACATTAACTTTCCAAGTGCCAAATACAGCAGTTTTTCTTCCATTTAAAAAAAAAAAAAAAAAGGGAGAGAGAGATTTGCCCCCTAGTGACAGCTCTCTAGAATACTTTTGTTCTTGTCTTTGTCCAGCTTTCAAAAGTTATGTGATCTTTCCTTCATCATCCTGCTTGGCTTCTAGCTCTTATTTCAGTTTGCATTTCCCAAACTTACAAGAGATTTTAGTGTTAAGATTACACTTACCCTACCCTTTGAGGATGATTATGGTCTGTTTGTTTTTTCCAAATACCTCCTGCTTGACTAATACATTAACTAATTAAAATTACACTTACTGTAAATTACACTGACTAAAATGAAATACCTTTTGATTTCTAGTTTAAAATAAACATAGTTTTATATTTTAAATACATTTTGGAGGCAGAGTTGCTACTTTATCATGGCCTTCTCTAGTTTATCTACTATTCCATTTTGGTAGATACTTAAAAAATGCATTTGGGTTGATAGTAGACATAATTTTTCTTATAAACTGTTAAAAACTGATTTTGTTCTTTTTTTTCCCCCCCTGTAGGGCTCCCTTAAGGAAAAGACAGTTGAAAATCTTGAGAAGTATGTAGTCAAAGATGTAAGTAATAAAGGGGAAAACAGATCTGTAAATCAGAGAAATGAATGAAAAACCTATTTAAAATGAAATGGACAAGGGAAGACAACTAATTTGTCTTGACATACTATATGTCAGGCACAATCACCAGGAATTTTCACCAGAACATAGGTCTTAGAATAGTTTTTCCTTGGGGCACCTGAGTGGCTTAGTCGGTTGAGCGTCCGGCTTTCGCTTAGGTCATGATCTCACGGTTCGTGGGTTCGAGCCCCGCGTCGGGCTCTGTGCTGACGGCCAGCTCAGAGCCTGGAGCCTGTTTCAGTCTGTGACTCCATCTCTCTCTGACCCTCCCCTGCTCACGCTGTCTCTCTCTCTCCTAGAAATAAATAAAAAAATATTAAAAAAAAAAAAAAAAAAAAGAATAGTTTTTCCTGTTTGTTCCTAGGCAAGAAGATCCAGTATATCATTTGTCTTTTTAGCTCTGATGATAATAATAGTAGCTAGAGTAGTTACTGTGTGCACATCACTGTACTAAGTGATTACATGCCCTTTAATCTTCCATATAACCCTGAGTGAGGTATTGTCACCTCTGCTTTGTAGATAAACTGAGGTGGGTGCCTGGGTGGCTCAGTTGGTTAAGCATCTGATTCTTGATTTCAGCTCAGGTCATGATCTCACAGTCGTGAGATCAAGCCCCACACTGCTCTGTGCTGAGTGTGGATCATGTTTAAGATTCTCCCCGTCTGGGGGCACCTGGGTAGCTCAGTCAGTTGACCATCCAATTTCTGCTCAGGTCATGATCTCACAGTTTGTGAGCTCGGGACCTGCATTGGGCTCTCAGCTCAGTGCGGAGCCCTTTTAGGATCCTCTTTCTCCTTCTCTCTTTCTGCTCTTCCCCAGATCACACTTGCTGTCTCTCAAAATAATTTTTATTTTTAAAGATTCTCTCCCTCTAGGGTGCCTGGGTGGCTCATTTGGTTAAGCATCTGACTCTTGATTTTGGCCTAGGTCATAATCTCATGGTTCGTGAGATTGAGCTCCACATTGGGCTCTGCGCTGATAGCACGGAGCCTGCTTGGGATTCTCTCTCTCCCTGCCTCTCCCCTGCTTACACTTGACTTCTCTCTCTAATTAAAAAAAAATAGATTCTCTCCCTTTCTCTGCCCCTCCCCTACTAGTGCTCTCTCAAAAATCAAAAAAAATAATTAAAAAAACCTGGCGAACAGAAGTTACATAACTTGTCCAAGTTTATACAGTAGATTTTTAAAATCTAGAGTTTATAGAATTGTGCCAATGTTAATTTCTTAGTTTTGTTCATTATACTATGGATATGTAAGATCTTTAATATTAAGGGAAGCTAGATGAAGAATATATGGGAAAATAATCAGGTTAGTTTAATTAACATAGTGTAATATTGGTTTCAGGAGTAGGATTTAGTGATCCATCACTTAACATACAACACCCAGTGCTTATCCCCACAACTGCCTTCCTTAATGCCCATCCCCCTCCACCTCCCCTCCAGCAACCTTTTGTTTTCTATATTTAAGAGTCTCTTATGGTTTGCCTCCTTCCTGTTTTTATCTTATTTTTCCTTCCCTTCTCCTATACTTTTGTTTCTTAAATTCCACATATGAATGAAATCCTATTATATTTGTCTTTCTCTGACTTATTTTGCTTAGCATGATACACTCTAGCCATCCATGTATTGCAAATATTTGGCAAGATTTCATCTTTTTAATATTCCTCTGTGTGTGTGTGTGTGTGTGTGTGTATCAATCACATTTTCTTTATCCATTCATTAGTCAGTGGACATTTGGGCTCTTCTCTTATTTGACTATTGTCGATAGTGCTGTGAACATTGGGGTGCTGTGCCCCTTTGAATTAGCATTTTTGTATCCCTTGGATAGTAGTGCAATTGCTGGGCCTTAGGGTAGTTCTGTTTTTAACTTTTTGAGAGACCTTTATAAAACTTTTCCAGAGTGGCTGCACCAATTTGTATTCCCAGAAACAGTGCAAAAGTTTGGAACTATTTTAATATAAGAAGGAAACACAGCTTCGAGATGAGATACTTCCTTGTCTCACAGAGTACAAATTGTGGAATGCAATATTTTTTTCAAAGTACTTCGGTATAGATTTCTTAGTGTTTTCAGTCACTGTACTTCCTTTTCCCCCTCCACTCCTATTTCCACTATTGTTTCAAGAGAGAACACTGAGGGTTCACGAGAGGTCCAGGAGAATTTGAGTGAAGGAACCTATTTAGTGTGAGAGAAGGAAAAGCTGCTTTTCTTCTTAGTCTCATCAGGAGTTAGAATTTCCTCATGTATCTACGGATGGGTCTGAGCATTTCTAGGTTGCATCCTGCACATGGCATTTAATTCTTCAAGGTGTTTTATAAGACAAAAGCCTACGCAGGGAAGCCACAGCTTATGCTCTCCTTGTATTTTGCTGGTGATGTTTAAAATCAGCTTCTCCTCACCTTTAATATACCTCATTCATATACTTCAAGAGATTACAAGGTAATTTAAACTCTTTCTTGGGGCAGACATGAAGAAGGTAGAGAAGGTTTTATTTTTTAATTTTGTTTGGTTTTTTGTAATCTCTACACCCAGTGGTGGGGCCCAAACTCCTAACCCTGAGATCAAGAGTCGCATGCTCTTCCGACTGAGCCTGCCAGGTGCCCTGAGGTGTTTTTAATAAGCATATTTAATATATTTAAAAAGTATATCTGCATCGTTTTATATATACACCTATACATTATATACACCATGTATATACTGCAGAGCTTAATACTTCATGCGTAGTGATAATGTGGTCTTTTAAATGTAAAACTCTGAAACCAACCAACCCTCAAAGCGCATCCCCTATTCTTATTTAGGGAGACAAAAGTTGAAGTGTAAAAAGACTATATATTTGTGTTTTAGTTTATCATTCATCATCATTTTACATTTCAGGGGAAACTGCCTTTGCTTCTGAGCCGAATGAAGGAAGTAGGGAAAGTGTTTCTTGCCACCAACAGTGACTATAAATATACAGATGTAAGTGCCTAATGTTCATACTTATTTATACAGAGAAATTGTTTTGGCCTAAGGAACTGTGAATGAAGATAATGAGGACACTTGTTAGTGAGGGTAGTTTTTTGCCATGTCACTTTGAGAGCAGAGTGAAAAAAAACAACAGCATTAGGGCTACATCGGAATGGTTCTCAAATTTTTCTAATTATTTCTTTTGACTTTTCCCTGATTACAGTTGATCACTTGAAGGTTTTAATTTGGAGGTTGTTTAAAATATTTGTGCTGATTTTAAAAAAGGTTTTCTATCTTTTTGGTGCATCATTTGTATAAACTTGAGAGGTCACACATTTATTTACTGCATATGTGTACATGCCCCTCCTCCTGCCAGGAGCCAGACAGCAGTAGATGGTGCAAAGATGTGTGGACTCTTCACCATCAGAATTTACCTTTTAACTTAGACATTTCTTTGCCAGGACTAAAGCATGTGGAAAAGCCAATTTAACCCCTTAGCCTCATCTTATTATTGCTAAGATAGTTACAGGTTTATAGTACTAGAAAGAAGCCCAGTGCTCTGCAATTCTCAGTGTAAAATCTTGATTTAGCAATCTGGTGAGTTGGAGTAAGCAGTCTTACAAAGGCAACAAATCTGATGGTTTATTGGCTTGGTTAGTCTAGAAAGAATAAATAGTAAGGAGGGCAAGGTATGTTATTTCCATGTGAGTCATTAGTTTTGTCTATGCCCTGACCTCAGATACCCATTCCAAATATGTGTTCCAGTCCGCTAAGAGGATTCAGTAGGGATATATGGATGATGTGTACAAAGCTACATCCTAGAAGAAGCCTATGTCTGTCCTACTGAGACTGTCAGTTTTAGTTTGTTATATTGAAGCATTAATTTCTGGCTTTACCTGTCATGATTTGATAAGCTTAGGGGAAACAAGAATGTGATGAATCCTATATTAAAAAAGACATGTCTTATTAAAAGGTTGGGTTTGAACTTTTTTAGGTGCTACATATCTTTTGCAAAAGTAGTATATGGACCTTATGTTGGATTTTTTTTTCCAGAAAATTATGACGTACCTGTTCGATTTCCCACATGGCCCCAAGGTACTATACGTAACTTAACAGACCATTGTTTTTAGTAATAATGAATGCATTTAGTGATCCTAGAATATTGAGAGTAAGGAATTGTCAGAACTCAACTGGAAATCATTAAGCTTAGAAGCAATGCAGGAGCTAGTATAGTTTAACATTGCTAGAGATTTGAGAACATAGTAGACAGAAATAAAAGGGAGATATTTGTGTTATTTAGTAAGAAGTGTTTTTATGTCCAAGAAGTTCTAAGTTTGTATGGCAAAGAAAGGACTTTTCACATTGAGTAAAATATGTGATTAAAAGAAACAGAAGATATGTATATTCTTGACAACTTCTAGATACTACTCTTAGTTACTGCTGAGTTTTGTGCCAAGAACAGTTAACCTTGATATTTAGCAGAGAAGTCTTCATTCCCACAGTGTGGCTGCAGTTAAATTTAAGGAATACTCATTGCAACCGAGTAACATCCTTATGGGATTTAGTCCTTCTTTGATAAATATCAGTAAATCTGTGTTTTGAGGTCACCCAAAAGCACAGTTTGACCTTAAAAGTTTAACATGATGGTTCCCCTTCAGGATAGAAATCATGTTAATGGGCATAACTTCTTTATTAGTACTGTGATGAGCCTCCATTATGAGCCAAGGCTAATGTATACCTAGAGGCATTATTCTGAGATCCAGTAAAATTTGCTGGTAATAGTTCCATGTTAGTTTATATACTTAAATTCTGATGCTGATCTGCCTCTTTCTTAAGCTGTCTCTTGAATATTGATTTGCATCTTTCTTTCACCCCTTTGAGCCTTTTTTGCATATTTCAAGAGTGTGAGGTCACTTTCCTTCATATGTTAAATTGCTGTGAAATATTAGTAGAGGAAATGATTTTAAACATGTTAATTTATATTTTCAACTTGATGCTTCCAAAAGAATGTGGCCTATAAGACACAATATGTTTTTAATACAATAGTGGGATCTTCTGTGTATACTTAATATGTCTACATTCCTTACATTTGAGTGAGATTAAATATTAGTGCCTCAAGGGTTAGGAGTGATATTTTGGCTTTTGCTGTTTCTCAACCTCATCAGCCTGGGAGCTCCCATCGACCATGGCAGTCCTACTTTGACCTGATCTTGGTGGATGCACGGAAGCCACTCTTTTTTGGAGAAGGCACAGTACTGCGTCAGGTGGATACTGTAAGTCAAGAGGATGATCTGTCTGCTAGCACATTGTCCTTCATACTTCTCCTTTCCCCACTCTTTTTCTTTCTAATGAAACAGGTATTTTTATTATCTATATCTTTGTTTTTAATTTAGGAGTTTTAGTATTAATTGGGATAGCCCAATAATTTCAAAAGAATATAATTCAAAAGTGCCATTCATTTAGATGCCTATCCAGATTGCATTTTGGGTGGAGATTGTGATAGAACAGTAAATTATTAGAAAGTCTATCTTCTCTTCTCACAGAAAACTGGCAAGCTGAAAATTGGTACCTACACAGGCCCCTTACAACATGGCATCGTCTACTCTGGAGGTGAGTCACAGATTTCCCTTTATTTAGTTTAACTCTTTGTTTAGGCTTCATTGTGAAAGCTTTGGGGTCTTCCTGGCATAGTGCCACATACACTCTTTAGTGTCCTAAAGATATGGTCTCCTGGAGGAAACTGCTTCAGTCACCTGCTAATGCAAGAGGAGTCAGGGAGAACAGGTTTGAGAAGTTGTTAGTATGTCCTAATGAGTCTTTGATTTTCACTAAAAGGATCAGTTTTTCCTCATCCTTTTACGTATTTGAGACTTTTTCTCATTGTCCTGGAATGATTTGAGGTGGTTCTCAAAGGGGTCCTGAAGGAGCCCCTATGGATCCTGATGCATATTTAGTTGCAATGAGAAACTGTTGAACAAAACGAAATGTCAGACCTTTGATGACAAATGGCAGTGGTTCTTTAGGAGAGTTATATTTACTAAAGCTGAGACATACAGTTTTGTTGCTCTTGGATTTGGTTATCAAGACCTCTGGTTAGCACAGTGGAGCTGAAGGCCTTGTGTTAGAGGCAGTAAAAGGAATGATGAAAGAAAGACAATGGTGGGTCTTTGAGGTGAGTAAGCCCTACTTCTAGTCTGTTCCTTGCATAAGAATAAAATTAATCAGTACAGTATCTAATGGTTAATGGTTATGGTCCTTAGAAGGCTTGTTTTTAATATGGAGACATTTTTGTTTTCCCATTGTTCATTCCCTTGTTTCAGGTTCATCTGATACAGTCTGTGATCTGTTGGGAGCAAAGGGCAAGGACATTTTGTATATCGGAGATCACATTTTTGGGGACATTTTAAAATCAAAGAAACGACAAGGGTGGCGAACTTTCTTGGTGATTCCTGAACTTGCACAGGAGCTGCACGTCTGGACTGATAAGAGCTGTAAGGAGCCATTACTCTTATTTTATATCTTAAGGGCCAGCTGTGAATCATTCCTCCTGGATGAACGTTACTTTGTATGTGGGGAGAAAAGGAGAGGGGCAGAGATGGTCAAAGATATTTGGATACCTCCCTTTACCCAGATATTTTACAGAACTCCTGAATTTGAGGAAATAGGAGAGGTTCTCGTGTTTAGCCTTTCTCTTGAATTCCTTCGGGGTTAAGGACAGAATGTTGCTATCCTGAATTCTATTACTATAGCAACTAAACTTTGAATTCCATTTTCTTCTGTAGTCCCATATTTTCTAATCACATGTACTAGTTCCCTGTCTCTGTGACGTGGGGGGAGTGATGGCTTTGAGTGGTAATTACATCCCCCTTTTCCCTGCTCTTTTGAGAAGTAGAGAATGAGGCCAAATTGTATTCTGTACATGGAATTGAGCTGTAGGTCTAGTTATATAAAACTGTTGGACATGGAAGTTCTCCAGCCAGTCCTACCTAGAATCACCCACTGTGTCAGGTAGTTACCCCAGCTCTACTACCTAATATCTTCATGACCTGAGGCAAGTTACTGGGATATCTGGTGTGTCAGTTTCCTCAAATATGAAAATGAGGCTAACCTACTTCATAAAGACAAAAGTAACAACCTTTCTCAACCTAGGCTCCTCATCTGATGCACAGAACAGAGAAGTTAATAAGAATGACTCTCAGTTCTCCCAAAGATGGTAGATTAAAAAAATTTGTTATCAATAGTATATACATTAGGACTTCTCTTTGGGGATCCCAGGTTGAGAAAGGCCGGAACCCCTACAAAGCAGGCATCAGATGCTGGCTGTTGCTTGACCTTGGTGGGATTTTTCTGGCTAGTCTTTCATCCATATTTTCAGCTTTTACACCTCTGAAATTCTATAAATCTAGTTGATTTGGCTCTATTTCCTGGATTTGTGACTCTGGACACATCACCTACTCTTCTTCTTTGATCTGAAAATGGAACTGCTAACACTGATTTTGCTGAAACATTTCCGATGGGTTACAAATTAGCACTTAGCATCCATTTGGAAAGGAGAGTTGTAGCCAGCGGGGTTGAAGTAGAAGAAGAAATCATGGCTTTCATCCGCTGCCAGATCCCAAGCAGGGCAGGACTGGGTTTTCCTGAAGCAAGAGAATGAAGTCATTTTGTGCAGTCACCATAGCTTTACTTTTCAGTCATGTCTGCAGCCTCTTAACTTAGTTCCAGCTGTAGTTAAAAACAATGCTTTTTATTTAAAACATTTTTCTCTTCCTTCCAAACTTTAGCGCTTTTTGAAGAGCTTCAGAGCTTGGATATTTTCTTGGCTGAACTCTACAAGTAAGTTTCCAGATTCTAAAGACAAACATTTCTTCCCTAAACATATCACCTAGGTGTAAGAGACCTCCTTTCTGGAGATTTTCAGTGGAGTGTTTTTTTTTGCCTCCAGGCACCTTGACAGCAGCAGCAATGAGCGCCCTGACATTAGTTCCATCCAGAGACGTATTAAGGTATCCAAATGGGATTTGGGACAGATCTTGGAAAATAAAGTTGTGTTTTTTTTGTCTTTATCCTGTGATACAAGGACAGGCACATCACCAGCACCCAACAACTACTAGAATTCAGTCTCTTGTCTGTTGCAGAAAGTAACGCATGACATGGACATGTGCTATGGGATGATGGGGAGTCTGTTCCGCAGCGGCTCCCGGCAGACCCTCTTTGCCAGCCAGGTGATGCGCTATGCTGACCTCTATGCGGCCTCCTTCATCAACCTGCTGTATTACCCCTTCAGCTACCTCTTCAGAGCTGCCCATGTCTTGGTGAGTTGACACAGTTTTAGGCTGCTCTTTACAATAAAGATAGACACTTAGGCCTGAGAGCTACAGTTTGCTTTGTGGGATGACACAGGAGAGTTTGGGTCTTTTTTTCATTTATGTTTATTTTGAGAGCTGGGGAGGGGCGGAGAGAGAATACCAAGCAGGGTCCGTGCTGTCAGCACAGAGTACAACATGGGGTTCAGTAACACAGGGCTTGATCCTACAAACTTGTGAGATCATGTCTTGAGCCACCCCTGGGTCTTTTTTCCTCATGTGCAAAAAGCCCATAAGCAGGTTCCATGCTTGTACCGAAAGGAATCTTTGAGAAGGTAGGATCAAGTGAAGACTTCTCTTTTGTGAGCATTGAATAAGAGAAATACAGTTTTTATATAGCAGGACTGTTTTGTGCTGTGAAATAAGAATCTTTCTCCCCGATCTTTTCTAGTTTCGGGCTGTAATAATCGAGATGAGTTGAGAATGAGAGGAAAAAGGCAGCTTTAGGTAGTTCCAGGACCACACTCAAGCATCTAATTTGGCTTGGCCTTTGATCCCTTATAGACCTGTCTTTGCACAGCCACCTAACAGAGAAAGGGTTAGGATTTGGGAAACTGTTTTACTCCACCTGCTTTCTGACCCTGACTTTGTTCTAGATGCCTCATGAATCAACGGTGGAACACACTCATGTAGATATTAACGAGATGGAGTCCCCTCTTGCCACCCGGAACCGCACATCAGTTGATTTCAAAGATACCGATTACAAGCGGCACCAGTTGACCCGGTCGATTAGTGAGATTAAACCCCCCAACCTCTTCCCACTGGCCCCCCAGGAAATTACACACTGCCATGATGAAGATGATGATGAAGAGGAGGAAGAGGAAGAAGAATAAGGAGGAAAACCAAAACTGAGCATCCATTAAACACGTTTTGGCAGGACTCACAGGAGCAAAGGATATCCCTGTTTGGGTTCTAGTGGGTGGGGGAGCTCCATCAAAGGTACATCTGCGAAGTTTCTGAAGACCTTAAAATACTCTAATCATAGATACTTTTTAGTAGTTTTGTCTGCACTCTGCAAATGGTGCACAATTGTAATGGAGTCGGTATTGGAAGAAAGCAAGGGTGAAGCTGGGCTGAACTGCTGCAGAAGGCTCCATTGTGGCTTGTGACACCGTTTCCTTGTGTGGTTTCATCCTCAGTGTGTATTGGATACACCAGGGCTAGTGAAGAGTATCCGAGTGGAACAAGGGTGAGGGGAAGAGGTGATCTGAAAATGATGTTTGTTATGTTACAAATTGTGCTCTTAATCCAAAATCCATCCTGAAATTTTCAGTGCATTACACAGTATTGTATGTCAGTGGAGAAATATATTGTTTCCATTATCAAATGTGGTCTTCTGTTAAGGTCAAGGTTCCTTTTACAAGCTTTGAAGTGGCCTCAGTGCCTGTGGGCAGACTGAAGGCTTTAGTGGTCTTGCACAAGTGTTTGGTTTGCTCCAGGGCTCGCCTGGAATGTACTGCTGTGATTCTGTCTTGAGGTGAAAGTCTTCATCTAATCTTACATTTTTTTGATAGTAGAAATGCGTCTTATCCAAAAATGATCTTTTTCTCATCTGGGATGAATCTGTAGAAAGAATTTGGCTGAAAGAGGACAAAGGAGCAAGCCCCGTGAAAGAGTGTAACTGAGTAAAGTCATTAGCAAGGGCTAGTGTGGTTCGTGCCATCACGACTTCCGGCCTTCCTTGTCCTCTAGGGTAGACTGTTTTCCGCAGTCAAGCATGAGAGGATGGGAAGAAGGCATGTAAGTCAGAACCATACTAAAGCAGAGGGCACAATCAGTGTGAATAAATGTACTTCAGAATCCCAAGAGAAATCACTTGTTTTGAACAAGAGATCGTCACTGTATCCGGGAGGGCACCAGGCTGCCTCGCTGTCACATTCACAGTGGCTACAGCATCAGTTTGAATAGTAGTGTAGACTTTCACTTTACCTTTATATATATTCCTTCCATTCTTTCTGGTGAACACAGAGGGTAGATTAGTTGCTCTAGAATTCAGTACAGTCTTTTTCTAATACTGACTTTGACCCCTTCCTGCACACAGCTTTAATAACTGTTGGTCTTCAGGTGGGTGTAGGTTTGGCCAGAGACATCACTTTGATATTCTTTTATAGGAAGGGATAATACAGCACAATTGATGGCTAAATAGCACCTAAATAGTCCTCAAAACTTTTTCATGGGAAGTTTTTTAGTACAGGACTAGGTGGTGAAACTTTGTAAAAATTATTTTATAGGTAGGGAACACAGTTCAGTAACATAGCCAAGACTATATTATCTCACCACTTTCAGGATACGTGGGCTTTACATGAAGTCATGCCAACTTTCTAACTGGTATATACTAGGAATATATGCTACTTTGAAAGTAATCAGGTTACCAGTGCTGTTGCAAATAGCAGTTAAATACAGACCTCTTTTAAAATTTTAGAGGGTCTATTTGTGGTCACCCCATGTATTCTTCTCTAAGTAGAGCTGTTGCCCAGTTTGGTTCAGTCTTGTATTTGTTCAAAGCCAAATAATGTTTAAGTGGCTACAGCTGCAGAGCTAACTTATAATAGTACATTTACATATTTTCCCTCTTAGAGCAAGGACCATCATGATCACTTTGCTTTAATTTACCACACTTTTTGTATTGTGTTAACACATAAGATCTTACCTGTGTAAGAGTTTCTTTTTAGCCAGGTATCTGGCAGTGGGTCCAAAGATCAAAAAGAAAAACGCACAATTGGAAGAAGAATTCCACTGCTGGTCAGAGCTTTCTTCAGGACCAGCAAAACCTTTCTTGAAGAGCTAGGATTCCATTAAGCATCTAAGCCCCAGAGTTTAGTGTTTAGGTGGTCCATGGGCAGGCACTCAGGGTAGATAGAGTTAAACTTGCTAAAACATGAAGGTGAGTTTCTCTGTTGCCAACAGTTAGGGAAGCTGAACTTAAAGTTTTTGTTTTGTGTTTTTAGACCTGAGGCATGTTAGATGGTGCAAACACAGATCTCCCAACCCTTCAAAATCGCTTCCTTGGGTATTTGAAAAGCACCAGACACCCCTTCTTGGTTGTTAGACTGAACTTTCAGTCTTAGGGCATTTACAGGGTTGACAGGGACCCTGGCACAGCCAGCAGCTAGGTGCAGCAGACCCCAGCCCTGCTGGGTTCCCTTTTAAGAGGGCTTGCCCCCTACATTCATCTCTAGCGTTCTATTTCAACCTTAGATTTTTCTCTTTCCATAAGCATAGCTCTGCTCAGACCTAAAATAAAAAAGCAAGCCCTTCAAGCCACCCTTTCCAAGTTAGGATTAAAGCTACAAATCCTTAGTCCCATTACTGTTTTTAAGCAACTACTTTAAAAAGCCACTTGCAGTGACATGTCAGACTTTAAAAGTACTTTGTTCATGTTTAGATATTTCTAAATCAGATTTATTTATTTAAGAAATATTTTGTCAACAACTTTAAAGCCCTGCGATTTTTCCAGGGCTGCCGGAGCATTTAAAAATACTCCTACTCCCACAAATAGCCTGAGACAAACAAGTGCATATCTAAGTCTGCATTAAGGGTGGGAGCCTTGTACACATTCCGTGTTATGGAAACTATTTAACCTTTCTTTGATAGTGGAAAAAATGGTAACTGTGGCCCAGCTATCACCATGCAGTCAGTGGCCCAATTCCTTCCTTGGTTTCAAAGCATAGGCCTGAATATTTAGGTTTCTCGTGACATTTTTTTTTCTTGGTGACTAGAGCATAGGGCTCTTAAAATTTTTCCTCAAATGGAACAATTTCAAATGATACACAACTTGGGGATGCCAAATCTCTACCATGGAGGTACCTGAGCAGCCCTAAAAATAGAAGAAAGTGATACACTACCATCAGACAGCAGAAAGGCCGTGCACAGCAGCTGGGAAGCAGAGCCAGGTGACGTCTAGTACCCCCATCATCCATCCTACACCTCACTACCACCAGCCGGCATTTCACACTCCTGCTGCTGCTGAGTATCTACAAATAGCAGAAAGCAAATCCTCTTAAAAAAAAAAAAAAAATGCATTCGCTTACAGAATGAACAAGGCAGCTTTTCCTGGCAATCTCAACCATTTTCCCCTGTTGTCAGCCACAGTATCTTCATCCCAAAGCTGCAGCAATTGACTTACTTGAATGAAGAGAACGCAATTTCAAAAATAAAATATATGCAGTATTTTAAATTCCTCTGAAGAGCTTTAACACAAAAAAGTACTCCCCATTGAACATATTTTATCTCAAGCTTGCTGACTCTGTAAGTCTAAGGAGTTTGTTTTCCAGTGTTTTTAAATGTTTACTTTTGAAAGACTGTACACGAAAGCAGGGCAGGGGAAGAGAGAGGTGGGCAGAGAGCGCGGGACAGAGGATCTGAAGTGGGCTCTACACTGACAGCAGAGATCCCAATGCGGGGCTTGGACCCACAAACCATGGTGAGCCGAAGTTGCTTAACCGACTGAGCTACCCAGGTGCCCCAGTAATTTAATTTTCTAATTTAAACCAGTTTTTGGTCTAGTCTGTGTTTCTTCCTACAAAGTAAGATACCTTTGTTTCATTTTATTACTAGAAGAAAGGTGGATTCGATTGCCTCATGAATCCTCTTAGGTCTCCAAATGGTCGGCTCTCCGGTTAAGCTCTTCCCAAAGCCATGTCTGGCCAGTGCCGTAGACAAGGCCTCAGAAGTCCAGGCCGAGATGAACCTCACCACATGCACTGGAGCCCAAACAGCTGAGCACACTTTCTCCCCATGAAAGGCAGCACTAGTCTGGAGTCTCCAAGTTCCTGGGATACTTGGAAAGATTTGCCAAGCAAACCTCTTCAACCCAAAAAAAAAAAAATGCTTATTAAGTGTCCGATCTTTTTTTTTTTTTTTTTTTTGAGACGGTTCTCACCAGAGGTAATCTTTGATTTGTGGGTGGGGGTATTTTGAAGTAAGTAACTTCATTTTTGGACCCGTTGCCCTCAAGTCAAATGATGTAGCAGAACTGTAGCAGAGAAGCTTGCTCAATCTAAATCTTCCTGTCCCCTGCTGGCCTACTGTGTGAGCGCTCCAGTCATGGACACCCCAGCAGTAAAAGCAGTTCCATGAAGAACTCCAGCAGCTGATTCCCCCTTACACCCTTAGGCCTCACAGTCAACCACTAGGAGAGATGGCATGCTACCAGAATGTCCTAGAGAAAGGGCCCCATAAACCATTCCTTTGTTCTGGAACATGTTGGTATGAGCTGGGAGGATATTGGAGGGAAAAGGATGAAAGTCTCAGAAAACAAGAACTTATTAGCCGTCTAATATGATTCAACCTTGTGGCTTTAATAATCATTGCTATCAAATTGAATTACTTTTAAAAAGTACAAAAGAAGTCATTCAGTTTGTACCACTTTCTCTACAAGACCCTCTGATCACTCTCTCTGCCTCAGAAGTACTAAGTTGAGAAGGGCTGGGGAAGCACAATTTGTTTTATGAGCTAGAAAGCCCAGAGCTTTCTTCATGATAATGCTTAGTAATGAACTGACTCACGGGCACCCCATGGATGCCAAGGGAAAGCTTAGGAAAATCGCCTCTACTTTCATTAGAGAATTTCCTGATTTGAGCTCAGGGCTCATCTAGACAAAGTGAGTAAAGCAGAAAAAAATAAGCAAAATAGCCAGCTGGGAGTTGCTCTTTTGGAGAGAGAATTCCTTCAACCCCCCTTACTGCTTTCTGCTCTGCTTCTAAGGAAAGCAGACAGGCTCCCAAGTAGGTAACACTTTGCTAGAATATAGTTCTACCCTGTTCTACTTTGCAGAAATTATGGGTGATGACTGGAACGGAACATCGGGATTAGGTCAGGCATGTCCCAAAGCCAGTCTTGCCAGCAGCCCTTCACAGAGCAGTCTCCGTCCACAGGGCAAGTGCAAGTAGGGGGCCAGTCACCAAAAGGCTCAATCCTCAAAGCACGATCCTCTTTGCAATGTAAAAATAGAGGCTAGGAGTGGAGGAAAAATGGATTCCAAAGAGACGTGGTCCAAGAATAAATCACAGAGGGGCTGTGAGCCTCGATGGAAGATTTGCGAGGTCTGGTTGTGTGAGTGAGGAGGATGATTAAGAAGGAACACAGAAGACTTGAAAAGCAGTGGTGACGGAAGAGGAACGTGGGCCCCAACACTGGGTTATTAGGGAAGGTGGATGCCCACTGCATCCTGAAGAGCATCTGAATGCAACTCCCGCACTCAGGCCCAAGTTTTTAACTTGAGAGTGAATCATCTGTGCAGGCTACCACCTTCCTCCTAGGCTTCACAGAGCAGAGGAGCTACAGAGCGGTTTTTATCTTCAATAGCCAGCTGCGAGGCTTGAAGGAGGCCTCTGGTCTTGCCTAAGAAAAACAGCTTGGACACTTGCCCAGCTGAACTTTGTGTGGGTTGTGACTGAGCGGCCAATGTTGGGCAATTTGAGTGGATGCCCTCAGTGTCCTTCACTAAAATGAATCAACAGGGGACAGACTATAATCTTTGCAAAGGAGAACCTCCCCACCCATTACTCCACAGTACGGAGGCCCTGTTCTGGTATCTCTCTCTTTTAACATAAGACTTTACGGTATGTGTCCAGCAGAGATGCCCTGCTGTGTTGCCATGTCGACAACCAATCCCAGCTTTCTCACCAGGACAGCCATGCTACTGGGCAGGGGACCGAGGTTGGTGTTGCATAGATGAAAGGGGAAAGAGGGAACACACATCCGCTGGAAGGGTGAACAGAAAATCATCATTTATCTAAATAGAATAATAGAAATGAACAAAAACCTTTTAAAACAATCACAAAATTTACAAATAAATTGATACAAAATAAATAGGAGAGATTGTAAATCTACAACATTTGAATTATAAAATGCATTCATTATGACAATCAGCTCATGAAACCTATACATGTCATTTGTGCTTCTTTAGGTTTATGTACACAGCTCGGAATACTGTGCTCGGAAAACTTCATTGCTGAAAAGCATGAAATGTACACTATGACACAGTAAAGGCCGAGGAGGATGAAAATCAGACACTAAGCAGGGTCTTATTTGAGGGCCAAGGCAATGCTGGCATTGGGCCTCAAAACCAAGAAAAGGCATATTAGAAGCCCAAATGGGCAGGCAGCTGCCATTGTCCAGAGAGATGGATTCTGCAATCCAAGGGGGGAAATGGCCAGTTTGCCAACCTGGCTTGGGAGGGTGGGAGTGAGGGAGGCAGCTCTGGTCTCACAGCCATGCTCTACCATTGCATACAGAATAGACCCAGTCACCAGGAGACAACCTCTGAAGTATTTCATGGAGGTACTTGGGAGCCCTGCCTCCATCCTCACCCCCAACACTAGTCCATCAGGAGCAGTGGTGGGCCTGATGAAAGGGGCCAGGGATGCTAGGGTCAGTGTAAGAGCAGCAACCTCTTTATGACAAAAACAAACCAACCCACTGCCTTCTCACCCACTTTAAGGGACAACAGAGCCCTAGGCTCCATGGATGAGGGACTCTAGGAAAGATCTCGTCTTAGTCACAGACAATGTACTAACAGTAGAGGCTTATGTACATAATAAATAATAATATAAAATAAAGCATATACATTTGTAGATTTAAAGGACTCGAGAAACAAGAGAAGTCAATGGACTGATATACTCCACCTTCACAGTAGACTCCAGACATGGAATAATGAATCAGAAGCTAGGATGGGGCTCTCTGGGGAATCAAAGTCCTGAGGCCTTATTCTCTCCCACTCCCTACTGCTCTGGGAGCCCGAGACCGGCAGTGTATACCAAGGGGGCTGGGCCTCCAATAAAAAGGGAAGGCACCCAAGGCCCACCAGGTCCAGGTAATAGTTCTCTCCAGGGTGAATCTGAAGAATTTGGCCCCAAGAGAATCACCTCCCAAGTGACTCCATGTTAGTCAGATGGGGGCAAATGCCAGAAGATACCCTGCCAATTGAGGCAAGTCATTCTTCCAGTTTATGTTTAATACCTCAGCAGGTATTCAAACTCAAAGATGTTTACTCATTCAAGTCTTTCTGATAGTAGGTGCTGGAGCTGTGTACATAAAAACCTTGGTATACAGATTTCTAGAACTTTGCTCTCTTGCTACTAGAACCTTTGTTCCCGTGGTCCTTCAAGTACAGCCTGGTATTTCCCATCAAAAGATATTTACAATGATTCTAGTGAAATTATGTCAGTGGCTCTAGCATACGTGGATAGAAAGCTTACTTAAGCTGAGCCAACCACAAAGGTCTAAGAAGCCAAGAAAGTCCCCAGCCCAAGATGGCATGAGGAAAGCTCCAAGCTCTGCAGTTGCTGTGAATCACCATGGTCTCCTTCTGTCCCTACGGCTGACCAGGGGCCCTGGAGCCTTCAGACAGGGCAGAAGGAAAACCAGCAGGTAAGCATTCACTGCAGGAAGAATGTCTGCAGGTGGTAGAGGAAAAAGGCCCACTGCCACAGCCTTGAGGGACAAGTGACATCAGCAGGCTTGGCATGGGTGCACCACTCACCCTTAAATGAGACAAATGAACCTCATCTTAGAGTTCTCTGCACTCACGTCTCTTATCAGCCCACTTGAATATAAAAGAAATACGAAAAGATCAAGATTTGTAAATGGCCCTGAGATAATAAAAATCCACTGAGTACGCTGCTCCTTGATAAATTTACACTGGAAAGTTTCTCAATCACCCTAACCCACGTTCCTACTGAGTTCCCTAAATCTCTCCTAATTC